ATTTGAACACCCAACCTACCACTTGGAGAGTTGACAACCTGACCACTTCACTAGGTCGCCACACCCTGTAGTTTAATTTTTTTTAATATTACTAATGCTTTTTTTTTGTAGTTTTATGCTTTATTAGAAAGGCCAGAATCAGAATCTTAAATCTAAAACTGATACAAAAATAAGTACCAGTTCATTTTTTTTTTGTATTGTTACTAATTTTTGTTTTCTTTTTCTTTAGGTCTTGTATTTCACTGAAAAGGGTTAAGAAGACTGAGATCAGGATCTTTAATCTGAAACTAATACAAAGATAAATATTAGTTTACTTTTTTTTTTGTTTTTTTTTGTTGTTACTAATTATTGTTTCCTTTTTTGTAGATCTTGTGCTTCACTAAGAAGGGTTAATGAAGGCCAGGATTAGGATTTTAAATTATAATAAGTATTATTTCCTTATTTTTGTTTTTTGTTTTTTTTTGTTATTACTAATTTTTGTTTTTTTTTTTTAGATTTTGTGCTTTGCCAGAAAGAGTTAATAAAGGCTAAGGTTAAGATTTTGAATCAAAATAAGTAATATTTTCTTTATTTTGTTTTTTTTGTTTTTTTTTTATTTTTTATTTTTTTTTTGTTGTTACTAATTTTTGTTTTTTGTTTTTTGTTTTTTTTTTATTTTTTGTTTTTTTTTATTTTTTGATTTTTTTTTTGTTTTTTGATTTTTTTTTGTTTTTTATTTTTTTTTGTTTTTTATTTTTTTTTTTGTTTTTTTGTTTTTTGTTTTTTCTTGGGTTAAGCTTTTTGTCTAGTGAACTTCTTTGCATATTCAGTATTCAAACTAGAAAGATATTCTAAAAGAAATAGAGACAAAATTAGCTCTTTGGTTAAGAATATTAAAAGCAGAAGAAAAAGAAAAACAATTAGAAAAACTTTTCTTAACTTGAACTCTTATAACAATGATATACTTTCTCTTTGTTTTTTTTTGTTTTTGATTTTTTTTGAAAATTGAGTATTTGGCTTATTTTCATTAAAAGATTAATATTATTTATCACTTTCTTTTGCAGTTACATACTTGTTTAAATATGACAAATAAGAAACACAACAAATACATAAATTAGCCAATCATATAAAACAAATTAAAAAAGAATTTAATTTGAAAAGACCAAAAATATATTAAGATATGTATATAATATTTTTTAAAAAACTAGTTATAAGTAGATGTAGTGATCTAGTGAAGTGATCAGGTTGTCAATTCTTCAAGTAGTAGGTTAGGTGTTCAAATTTCATTGATAGCAAAAATTTAAATAATCAACTATATAATATTTATATTATAGTAACTATTACTAACAATTAGGTTAGAATATCTGTAATGTTGATCATATTAGCATAACTGGCAGTCATAAGGCATTTATATAACAAGTCATATGACATTGTTCTTTGGGACAAGATCTGTGTTTACATGAAAAAATACAAACTGACAATTGGATAGTACAAATATTAGATAAGTTCTTGTAGTCAATATTGTATTTGGATGAATGTCCAAGTAAATTTATTAGACTTAGATAATTTTGGACAATGTTCAATGTTCATGTCTATAATATTCAATATGATTAAACATGTATATAGATAAATATCCAAGTTAATTATTGGACATGAACTTTAATGTCCAATGTTTAAGAGTTTTATTGATTAATTATCATTGGACATTTCTTGGACAATGTTCAATATTTAAGAATTTTATTGGTTGATCATCATTGAATATTTCTTGAATGATGTCCAATGTCCAAGAATATTATTGGTTGATTATAATTAGACACTACATCAGAAGTTTTATAAACATCGTACCTTTAAAAATAATCATTACAATATATAACTACAGAACTAGATATTTAAATACTTAGTTAAATAACATGCTATATATTTATATTAATATTTTATATATTGCAATGTTTAATAAAGTTTCTGTTTTTCAATGCTTTTTTAGATTGATTAACTTAGGTTAATTATTATTTTTTTATAACTTTATGATGTAATCGATATATTATATATATAACACCATTACCTCAAACAGAAATTGAACACCCCATAATGATAATAATAAACATCCCAATTCGTTAGCTTTATTGTTCTTTTGTAGGACCTACATTTCTATTATATAACTGCATTTTTTTTGCATATGACACTTAACCAAAATAAAAATGAACTTTTACATTTAACCAAGAGCAAATATATATTTTTTACTTTGTAACAAAGGTCTTGCTTGTGTCTTTGTATATGCTAAATTTAAAAGGAAATTAAGGCTATTGTTGGATTTTGGTGCATGTTTATTATGAAATAACTACTTTCTTACAATCAGTCTTTTTGCATCTGCATTATAGGTTTTTTTTACTAGTATTAAGTATCATAACAATATTAACTACCATTACACTTTGTGCTATTGCATTTTTTTCTGCATAGTTTGAGTCCAATCAAACGAATATGAAGAATCATGAACTTAGGAATTTGAAATAACACATTTTTTTTGTGTAGAATATGTATTTTTTTTTTTATGTATTTAAGTAGACGACAAGTAACATAAGTTTTATTTTTTGTAAATTGAATTTGATATTCACTTTTTTTTTTTAAATATGAATTTAAATGATATGCACTTTCTCTTCTAAATAACAATAAGTTACATCAAATTTTTTTTTTTGAATAACATATCTTTTTGTATCAGTCTAATACATATCTTTTTGTTATGATTCAAGCAAATATTATTATAATCGTCATGCCATCACCTTTACTAACTCTTTTAGATAAATATATCATTAAAACCAATGAAAAAATAAATAAATATAATACAAAAATATATTATAAGCATTGCATTAACCAATTAGGTCAAATGGAAAGTACTAAAAACTTTTATTCAAATAAAAAAGATCAAATAATCTTACATTTAAAAAAATGTTTACATTTTGTAGCTGAAAAACTGCTAAAAAGAGAGAAAAAATTTTTAAACTAGTTGATTCTATAAAAAGTAAAGTATTATTTATTATTTATTTATTTATTTACTTATTCATTTATTAAAAAATTATACTTTTGTAGAAACTAATGAAAGCGTATCTTCAGCTTCGTATTCTTCATCAAAAATTATTTAATCTTCATCTTTTGGTTCAATAGATAATTATATTATAAAAGCTTTATCACCTGAAGATGTAAAAAAATTCCATTAACTTCTTTTGCAGCTTACAGTTTCTTGTGAGTAGGCACTGTATTGGGTGAACAAGCCTAAGGCAGCCAAGTCATTTGAGTTTCTTAATCTATTAATTAAGCTTTCTGATCGATATATGCTTGGAGGACAAATTTTAAAAGATGCAACAAATGAATCTGATAAGGTGATGTTAGCTATATTAAAGAAGGATCAAGTTGGTATTATGCTAACTTTTAATGGTTAGACAAATGTTCAAAATGAACATTTGTTAGGAGTAGTAATTATTATATCAGAAGATAAACTATATGTTTGGAAAGTACTAAATATAAGTTTAGAATGTGAAACACATATAGAAGTTATTAAAAAAGTATATATGATATTTGCTAAACTAAATTTACAATCAATTAGAATTATTGCTATTGTAACAGATAGTGCAGACGCATATGCAGCTGCTAGGTATATTTCATTATTTATTTTAAAATAAAATAAAGATTTATTTATTAATTTTTTTATAGCCATCATTTAAGAATTGTACAAAGATCAATTATATTCTTACTATATTATGCACATCAAATAAATTTGTATGTTGGAGAGATTTTTAAAGAATCAACTGATTTTAAAAGAACAATTGACCAGGCTGTCTGTCTTGCTACATATTTTAGAAATCCAATGAATTAGTTTTTTATTGCAAAATTAAAAGATGAACAATATGCCACATATAAAAAATACTTTGCAATTAGTGCACCTAGAGAAACACAATAGAACAGTTTTTATACTGTTTATTTAAGTATTCTAAGATCACAAAAGGTGTTGCAGGTAAAATTAATATTGTTTTATAGATTTAAAGTTAAACAATTTAAAATTAAAGAGTGACTAGTAAATTAATATTTATCAGATCCTTGTGATTAAATTTGAGCCACCTGTTGGAGAAACTTCTAAATGTATTGGATCAGAGACAAAATTAAAATGTGAAATATATGAAATTATTAGTTCTTCAAATTTTTGGACAGATATTTGTCATCTACTTAGCATTCTCTGATTGTATTGTTTTATTTTGAATAAAATACAGTCTGATAAAGCCTGATTACATCAAGTTATTTTGAGTATGGGTTATCTTGCTCAATTTTAGGATAATTATGATGATTTGCAACTTAGTACTTGACTTATATTACATTTAGAATGCTGATGGCATGAGTGAGAACAGCCTTTATTAATTCTCGCATGTCTTTTACATCCTAATTTTCGTATAGAACTGCTTAATATAAATATTAACTATGCTAACTTTGAACAATGACTAATATATTATTATCATGTATAGTTTGGAAAGAAATCAAAATAAATTTTAAGAGAGTTTGATGATTTTCATTTAAAAAAATATTTTTTTGATTTAGATACATAAGATTAATTTGAAGATGATATTTATGCATATTGGTGTTTTGCAGGTTTATCAACTAAAGAACCGAATTTAGTTGTGACTCAAACTTTTGGAAGATGTGTAAATGCTGCTGCTGTAGAACAACTATGGAGCAGCATAGGATTCTTACACACAAATCAGTATAATCGATTAATGATAAATTTAACTATACTTTTGAATTACACATTTTAAATAATGATCTTATTAATGTTAAATTATTATTTAGCCTGCCAAAGTCTTGCAAATGTGTAAATTATATGCTAATATCATATATAACTATTAGCTTCAATCTAATTCAGAAATAAATAAAATATCTTCATATGACAATATTATTGAGCAGCAATATGACAATATCATTGAGCAACAGCATAACAATATCATTAGCAATGTGACAATATTACTAAGCAGCAATCTAATATGTTATTAGAAATGGATTCTATGCCAACTAATAATAACATTGAAATTTCTACTTTAGACAATGTAGATAAATCGAGTTCTTTAGAAATTATAGAAGAAGAATCTTTAAACAAGAGAAAAATAGATGAAATAAATAAACATTTAAATGATGAGTTAGAAGATGAAATTATGAATGTTGAAAACTTTGATAACTTATTACAAGACTGGTTAGACATGTTAGAAGAAGAAAGGTGATGATTTGATGAAGAGGAAGTTAAAGAATATAAAGATAATAAATATTCTGTAAATGGTATTATTCATTCTGCAATTAATACTAATGCAAAATAGGAATTGGTTTCCTTTTTTAAAAAATTAGATTTATATAGAATTATGTGAATATATTTTGAAATATTAAGCAGAACATTCATGTCAATATTAAAACAAAATCCAAACAAGTTAATCAAAATAATAAGTTATCTGGCAAAGCAGTTGTTAGTACTTACACAATAATGCTGGGCTTATTTGAGCTTGGCAATTATTAAATTGTTTTAATAATTTGGAAAATAGGACATTAAAAATTAAATAATATATTATTAAGAGATTATATTTGGATGAAAATAAAATATGCTTTTTAAAATTAGAACATTTTTTAGTAAATAAATAAATTTAGTATATCAGTCTCAAAATCTTGAAACTTACAAGCTTAAGGTTAACAAAAGTTTAAATGTATATTGTGTTGGAATTCTTTGACAATTGAATCTGAATTGTATTATTAATTTTTTAATCAACAATAAAAATTGATTAATTATTTAATTGAATTCTATTACTATAAAGAACTTCTATTACTTTTAGCAAGACATATTTATTTAGTGATATCTAACTTATTTATAACTTTTATATTTTAAACGAAGTATACTAGTACAGATTAAATAAATTGAGTATACATTCTCGATTTACTTGTTACATTGGGGTTACGATATACTAATTAATCTATGCAAAGTATTGTAATAAAAACTAATAGCACAGATTTTATGCATAGATTGACAAAATCGTTAAATTTACTAGCAAAGACTAGTGCTCAAAAAATCGATAATTCATCTTATGTACCAACTAATTTTTTTGTTTAATAATGTTAAATTGTATAAATTGCTAAAAAAAATTAGTAGATATGTGGGATGAGTCAGTTTTTTAAACGCTAGTCTTTACTAATAAATTTAATGATTTTGCTAATCTATATGCATTAGTAGTTTTTATTACAATATATACCTTATATAGATTTGATTAATTAGTATATCGTAAACCCAAAAGTTATATGCAGAAGTACTAAATATATCTTGTTAGTATAGTAGTGAAAAACAATAGATGTTACAAAAGTTATTATTATTCTTCTAAAGAAGATATGTGATACTAGGTCAAGATTTATAAAGATTTATATATATTTTATAAATTTTAAAATTTTTTATACATAATAAATAAATAAAATAAATATTTGTCAAGTTTATGAGTTGCTTTTTTATAGAATTATTTATACTTTTTATTCAG